CCCAAGCTCCACCACACCAAGACACTGGTGGAAATGAAGAAGGACCTGGACAACATCTTCCCGGGAGGGAACAGATGCAGGTCCGCCCGTGTGGTGCCCAGTAGCACCACGTGAGGGGCTGAGCTGTGAGAGCCAAAGGGAAACCCCGCTCTGGCTCTTCCCACAGGTGTGAAACACAGCAGGAGTCCATCAGCAGCACGGACAGACCCCCAGGAGAGCTGGAGCGATGGTGGGACCGCGTTCCTTAAGAAAAAGAACCAACCAGCCGTGCCCCAAAACGGCTTTTCCTGCACCAAAATCTACGTGGCTGGCGGGGTTTGGCCGCTCTCCTGAGCGCAGAAACCAGGAAGGACAAGAGGCGTTTCCAACCCAGGATTTACTGATTCCCCCTGAAGCGAGTGGTGGGTTTACACCTCAGTGGCAGTTTAGAGGAGGAAGGGCAGCACCTTCTTCCTCCCTCGGCTTCTCTCCCAGCCTTCGCTTCCCTCTTCCCAAAAAAAAAAAAAAAAAAAAAAAAAAAAAAGCAACACACAAATATAAATATACAGGATAGAAAGTTCTCTGGGGGCAGGAAAAAAGAAAAAAAAAAAAAGCAACACACAAATATAAATATACAGGATAGAAAGTTCTCTGGGGGCAGGACATGACTCCTAGTCCAGGCCATTGGCCGTGTCCTCGTCTGTGAGACTCTGTCCGTTCACGGCCGGCACGTCGTACTGGCCTTGGGATAAATCCTCAAAATCCTGGCTCGTGGTGGGAGAGATGACATCAGGGCTGGTGTCACAGGACTCCGTGCTCTGCTCAGAGGTAGCGATGGTGGTCGTGGTGCTTTTGGGGACGGGGTCGAAATCGTCGTCGTCTTCCAGGATGGGAGATTCGTGGATGTCTGGAAGGGAAGAGGCAGGCGTTAGTTCTGGGACACCAGTGGTGAGAGAGACCTCAGGAGAGCAACTCCCTAATTCTGCATGCGGTAGGAATCAATCAAAAACACACCAGCACCTAAATTAGTAACTTCTTGCAACTGCATTTAACAGAACCAAGGAGTTTTCCAGACTTTTAGAGTGGCAGCCATGGGCCAGCACATGCCTGGATGGCTCATTGGCTTCTCCTCGTTCCCAAGAGACACCTCATGTGTTCTTTGGAATAGGGAGGAAAACTGAGCACAGAGTGCCAGGACAAGGGGGAATGGCTTCCCACTGCCAGAGAGCAGGGTTAGATGGGATATT